AGAGCCAGAGCCTGTCTCTAAATAAATAAATAAAAATTCCCAGGGAATATTATGAATAAATATATCCAGTACTGCTTTGGATTGAACCCTTCCAAGAAAACCATGCTGAAGTCCTGGGTGCCTCTGGATGTGATTCTGTTGGATATAGTGTTGCTGCACGTGTAACTCAGAGGAGAGACAGTAGAACATGAGTCTACAACCACCAGTGTCCTCAGAAGACAAAAATGTGGGCATTGACAGAGACAGAGTTTAGAGTGTGGGCTGCAAACCAAGGATCAGGGATTGGATTTCACAGCCAGAAACGAGGCTATGGCATGGGAGGTCTCCAGTGCAGTTGCAGAGGGTTTGCTGGTTCCTCATTTTCAAACTTCGCCTCCAGGACTGTAAAATCACTGATGCCAACTGCTTAAACCCCCAGTGGTATTTCCGTATAGCAGCCCTAAGACACTAAAGCCAGTAGCAATGCTGTGGTGGTGGCAGGGATGAGATTGGCCCCCAGAGGCTCATGTTTAAATGCCTCCTCCCCAGTTCATAGAACCATTTGGGAAGGATTAGGAGGTGTGGCCTTGTTGGAGGCGTGATACTGAGGATGTTACAGGAGCCCATGCCAACCCCAGATCTCACCACCCCGCCTCCAACCTGCGGATAAGCTGTAAGCTTCCAGCTACTGCCCCAGCACCATGCTGGCCGGCCTGCCTGCTGCTACACTTGCCGGCATGATGGTCACGGGCTCCCCCTCTGAAACTACAAGAAAGCCCACACTTAAATGATTTCTTTTATAAATTGCTTTGTTCATGCTGTCTCTTACAGCAATAGAAAAATTAAGGCACGTGTCATGCTTGTCTGTCATTTTAGAACTATGCATGGTGCCTTTACCACCTACTCAAGCCTTTCTCCCCCATTCTCATAGTGCCATCCACATAAACTGCTCTGCCAACAGCTTTCTGATTTCCCCTTTACTCATGGTTCCCATTCTGGCAACAAATATGCTCTATTTAATAATTCACTAACCAAATTAACAACCGAAAGTATTAGTGAGTCAAGATTTAAATGAGCCACATGTCATCTGTCCATTTTGACATTTCATCTCTTAATAAGATGAACTGTTCCGTGTGCGCATGTGCACACGGCCAGAGAGCCATGTCAGTTGTCTTCCTCAGCTTCTCACCTTTTATGACTCTCTCCATGAACCCGGAGCTTGCCAATTTGTCTAGACTGGTTAGCCAGCGAGTCCCGAGGATCCTCTTGCCTCTACTTCCTCAATGTTAATAAGATAGTACAAGTGTGCCACCATGCCTTGCTTTCTTATGTGGGTGCTGGGGACCAAAGGTAGGTTTTAGTGGTTATTCAGTAAGCATTATACCAACTGAGTCATTGCCCAGGCTCATAGAGCATGTATTTTAAAACAGAGGGCATGAATTTATCTTTCATCTGTGACATAGGAGGGAATAGGAAAGAATTTTATTTTGAGACTAGAACATGTACTGTTCTCCTGGAGGACCCAGGTTCAATTCCCAGCACCCACTCTGCCTAGCCCACAACTGCCTGTAACTACAGCTTCTGGAATGTGATGTCCTCATGTGAGCATTCTCTCTCTCTCTCTCTCTCTCTCTCTCTCTCTCTCTCTCTCTCTCACCCATATATACAATTAAAAAGTAAAATAAATCTCAAGAATTATATTTTTGTCTCTCTTGATGCTTCAGAGCTATCACTTTTTGGTTCACTGATGCAACCTGATCTAAATAAATCAGACACATTTGTGATTTCCGAAGGAAAACCTTCCATAATTACTGAATTTTCTCATGAAGTCGTGATGACTCTGTTTTTATAAAAACAAACTGCCCCATTGTCAGGATAAACTCTTCAGCGAGCAGGGACGACCTGCAACACGAACGACTGAGGGAGGGCCGTGGTTTACTGTCCCTGCCAGCGCCAGGGCCTCATGCTGGACTTTACATATGCTTCCTCAAATTCGGGACACTGCCGCCGTGGTCATGAGGACTCTTGGCAGTCCAGGAGGGACAAGCAAAAACACAGCCATGAAGAAACGCAGCAGGGCTGGAGAGATGGCTCAGGGGTTAAGAGCATTGCCTGCTCTTCCAAAGGTCCTGAGTTCAATTCCCAGCAACCACATGGTGGCTCACAACCATCTGTAATGGGGTCTGGTGCCCTCTTCTGGCCTGCAGGCATACACGTGGACAGAATATTGTATACATGATAAATAAATATTTAAAAAAAAAAAAAAGAAACGCAGCAGAAGAGTGAAGTGTCGTGCATTTTCACAAACTCAGAAGAAGAACAACTGATGATGGGGCCGGGTAGAGCATTTGGCTAACGCCGGCAAGAGGGCTGTCACTAGTCAGACCTGGGGTAGACAACAGAGAGAAAGGACCACTCCAAAGGGCCTCGAGGAGTGGAGTAGCGGAGCTGCAACTTAATTAGTGGAGGTTCTGAATGAAAGCAACGTAGACAATGTCTTTGTGCTGTATACATGTAACCCCAGCACTCAGTAGGAGGCAGGAGAAAGGTGCCCTGCACGGCGCAGCTCAGCAAGGTCAAAACCTCACCTCTGAAAGAGAAGAGGGCTTGGTTAAACTGAAAAGAGACAGAAATGGAGAAAGAGGACTTGGTCTGAGTTAGACCAGGATCAGCCTGTGATGCGAGGTTCAAAGGGAAGCCAGCCCTGGCAGGGGTGCTGGCTTCTCCTCCACCCCACCTCCTGGCCCACAAGCTGTATCCCAGGGAGACAGCCACAGGGAGACTTGGTAACCCTGACACATGCAGTCCTGTCATGGATGACCACAGCTGCTCCCATGGAAAGGCAGTCCTGGAAAGGGGGGAAAACCTGACAGGGAAGGGTAATGGGAAAATGACCAACTCCCCAGAGTCAAGAAACAAGCAGAAAAGAAACTGAAGGAGAATGGATAGAGGGGTGATAAGAAATACCACATGGTTTCTGACAAGAGATTAATAGACAGCGTACCAAGCATACAAAAGATCTAAATCCCTTCAGGCTGTAGACAGAAGCAGGCAGATCCCTGTGAGGTCTAGATCAGCCTGGCCTACATATCCGGCACCAGGTCAGCCAAGGCTACATAATAATTTTTACAAATTCAGTTGATAGCTAGCAATAATCTTAAATAATCCATGTTTGTATTGTGGTAAATACCGATAAAATTCTTAATTTTCACCATCTATAAAGTGTGCTGTTCGTAGTATCCACAATGGGTGCAGCCACCATATCTGTGTAGCTCCAGAACATTCTATCACTGGAAAAGGAAACTTCATACACATTAAGCTGTCACACCCCTGCCCTCCATCTTCCTCAGCTGACAGACACCAATCTTCTGTCTCCAGGTCAATGGACTTCCTACTAAGAAATTGGAACGCATAGTGCTTTGGGGTCCTTACACTTCTGTAGCTGAAGCTCAGTTTATGAGGCAAGCCTGGGGCAATAGTTCTCAAATAACAGGCAAGTCTCTCTAGAGAACAATGTGGCTTGTATCAAAGCTAGAAACTCCTCTCCTTTGGAGTGATGAGACCCACAGAAGGGAGAGACTCCGCTGTCTGATGTGACAACCATCTTTGTATACCTACAAGAGGCAGAATGAACAAGGTTCCATCAGGACGCGCCTCGTTACATCCTGGACTAACAAGCACACCAACACTCCCAGATACTGAACTCACAGGAAATCCAGTGACTCCTTCCGTCTTTGCCATTTTCAGGCTCTGCATTTGAGACCCAAACTTCCACCATCAAAACAGTGAAACCCAGACTCAGAACTAGATCAAGGCCAGCTTCCTAGCACTAGGAAGTGGCTTTGCTTCCTTTGGGGCCCCACCCTTCTCAGGCTCTGATTTCCCACCCTTCCTTTGAGGTGGGGAAAGGTTTGATAGAAATAATTGTTCTTTCTGGGGCAGGTTCTCAGTCTCCCAACATCTTCGAGAAAATGGCAGGGACGGACAGGGTGGGCTACCTTTCAAAGTAGTGCCGTTTTTATTTTGTCCCCCCCCCAGGAGAAATTGGTGGACGCAAAAAAACATGTCAGAAATGCACAGATGTAAACTGAACATGAGGTCATGAGGTCTTTGAGCTCAGCCAAAAGAATCAGGTTTTTGTTTTAAAATGAAGACCAACACTGCTCACTAAGCAGGCGGCGAGGTCCTCGTCATCCTCCACTTCCCCTTCACCTGCCTCAACACCCTACCTCACCAACTGCTTCCCCATCACTGGGTGGGAGAAGCTTGCCGCCTGAAAGCTTAGCCTGCTGATTTTAGTCCGGGGCGCCCACAAGCACGGAGTCCCAGGCCCACTGAACCTCCCTGCGAGTTCTCAGCAGTAGTGGGGGGGCAGGAGTTACTTATTTTATTTCTTTTGATAGAGCGAGTGTGGAAGGCTCCCAACAACAATACTAGCTCAAGAAAACCCCGAACCTCAAACTGCAGAAGCCCGAACCCAGAACTGTGCCAGGTTTTGGCAAAGTCCAAACCTGGAGTAAACCTGAGGAGGTAGGATGCAAATTACAACTCCGTGAAGAAGCGCTCTCCCCACCCCACCCCCCACACACAAGTACCTAACTTTGCTCACTGATATACAGGAAGCCTGGCTTTACCCCTCAAAGCTCTGCACTGGAACTGGCACAAGAAGCATCCCTTCCACAGGTGTCCAGGGTTCATAAGTGGGGAAGACGGGTGCTGTCTGTGCCTCATCAGTCTCTGGGCGCTCCTGTGAGAAGGTCCCACATTCTCTCCAGCCCCGGAGCTCAGGGTCAGTGGACGTGTCCACGCGAGCCCCCTCTCCCCAAGGCCCCTGGGTGCCAGCCACACGACCCAGGAGGATAATCCGCCTCAGCTAGGCGGAGGCTCCGGGGCTGCGGCTGGGTGGTGACAGCTTAGCTCGCTGCGCCAAAAGTAAGGCAACTCGGGAAAGTTCCCGGAGCTTTCCCCACTTCCTGAAGCCGCCTCCCCACGCCTCCACACCCCCCGGCGGCCGCACGGACCTGAGATGGTCTCCTGGTATCCCTTGGTGAAGAACTGCATGGCGGTGGCCGCCCTCCAGGGCGTCTTAAGCAGCCCCTGCCGCTGGGGGTCCTCGCCCAGAGAGCGCAGGATGGACGAGTAGGCGGCCGCCAGGTTGGGGAGGTTCAGCTCGTTATCCTCCTCGCTGCGGGGCCGCCCTGCCTTCCAGGCATCGGCGGGCTGTGCGCCCTTGGCCTCGGGCGGCTGGGACTTCTCGGCAGGCCGGCTGGCCCCGGGCCGCGACAGCTCCCGCTCGGGGAACCCATTGGTGCACCGGGGTCCCCTCGGCTTCTCCGCCGGCAGCGGGCCCGTCTCCATGGACCCGGCGCGACTGCTCCCGAGACACCCAGGGGTGCTGCAAGCGCTGTGGCTCAGCTTCGCCGGCAGCCGTGACCTGTGGCTGTCACCGGCACAGGGTGTCAGCTTGGAGAGAGACACTTGGAGCGAAGGGCAGCGGCCAGCTGGGGAGCCCCGCCGCGCCTCTCTTTTATGGCGGGGCGACTATGCCGGCGCCGCGAGGTGCTCTCATTGGCCCGAGCCTCTTGCGTCACGGCGCTCACCACGCCCCTTCGCCTGCCCCTCCTGATTGCCCCCTAAGCCCCGCGATTGCGCAAGATTGGCTTCAGGTTGGACCCCCTTGGTTTATGAAGGGAAGATCTGAGTCAGCAAAGCGACAGGAGTCAAGGGAGCTGGAACCTCGGGGAATAGGGACATCTGGTCCACCTCATTTTCGACCAGCGAAGGGGGCGTGGTCGCAAAAATGTTGTGGTCTGGTTGCCCTGCTAAAGATGAACTAACAGGTGAACCTTGCTGGGGCAGGAAGGGTGGAGCAAATTAGCTGGAGATAAGTAACTCCAGTGCTCTTTTAAAAACATCTTTTTTATTTACTTTTTAGTTTTGTTTTATTTTGTTTTGTTTGAGATTATAATTAAGTTCATTTCTGCTTTCCCTTTCCTCCCTCCAAACCTTCCCATATACCTTCCCCCCACCTTGCTCTTTCAAATTCACAGCCTCCTTTTCTTTAATAGTTGTTACATCTGTGTGTGTTTCTAAATAAGTAAGTACAGCCTGCTCAGTTCGTATAATGCCACATATCTGTTTATGTTTTCAGGGCCGGCCATTTGGTACTAGTGTGCTCTTGCCTGAGGAAGTCTCTTCCAGTCTCAGCAGTCCTTGGTTATCTGGAGTTCTTTGTCATGAAGACGTTCCATTCATTCACCACCACCACACGGTCCATGTTCACATGCCTGTTGGTGTCATCCTTTCCTTTTGCTTTTTGAAACAGTCTCACGACATAGATCTGTCTGGCCTGGACTTCACAGTGTAGATCACCAGGCCTCTAATTCACAGTATCTGCCTGACTTTCAAGTGATGGCATTAAAGACACGTGCCCAACCTCCCAGGCTTTGAGGGCTAGAGAAGTTACGATTAGAAACTTGTGCAAGGGTTAACATGTATGCCACACAGATGCCATTCTAGAGACCCTCAGCCCACTGTCATGGCATGAGGTACAGCGATAGCCCTCCTGGGAGTCCCTCTGCCTAGGAAGACAGAGTATTTGTAGGCTGCCAGATCCCTACACCACTGTTTTAACCTCCCCTGACCCCGTCTCTCACAATGATTAGGGAAGCTTTTCTTCCATTCCCCTGAGTCTGGTGACCAGTAAGAGGACGGGGCTCCAGACATGAGAAGACACTCACCAGTCTGCAATCACCCATCTCCTGCATAAAATGTCTCCCTAACAGCTTTCCCAAGGATGTTTCTGTAGACCAGGCTGGCCTCGACCTCATAGATCTGCCTGCCTCTGCATCCCAAGTGCTGGGATTAAAGGTGTGCACCACCACTGCCCGGCCTAAGGCTTCTCCTTAGAGCAACAATCCGTTCCTCTTGTCATCAGCTGAGTTTCCCGCTGCCTCGCTTGCTTCCCTGCTGACTACCTTCCTGCCTGTGGTAAGCCTCCTGACATTTGAGGTGGCCAGACTTTGACCCTGGAAATATTGATTTGCAAGTGAAAAAGTGAGTGTTTTCGTTGACAACACATTTGTGTCTTGTGGAGAAATAGGAGGCTGATAAATTTCAAGTACAAAGATCCATTCCCCAGATGTTGGTACAAACTGAAACGTTATTGATCAACTGGACTTTTTTCTTCTTCTTCTTCTGGTTTCTCTGTGTAACCCTGCCTGTCCTGGAACTCACCCTGTAGACCAGGCTGACCTTGAACTCAGAGGTCTGTCTGACTCTGCCTCCCAAGTACTGGGACTAAAGTCATATGCCACCACCACCCAGCTCGACTGGACTCTTAACTAGTAACATATGCTTTGATTTGATTGTTTTCTTTGAGATTGAGGAAGAAAATATATAAGATAGCTTTGCTCAGTGGAAGGATTATGTCATAATTACAAAGGTGAATTTTATCAGGCAATCAAATTGGTATCTTATTTGTTTAAGAGTATCTTACGATGATTTTCCAACTTATAAACAGGTATTAGTAAGCCTACGACTGGATCAAGCAGAAGATACGCCACTGGAATTGTCCTGTGCTAATAAAGTCTATTACTGTAGCTTAGAACTCATATTTATCGAGCATCTATTCCAAATAAACATTCAGGAAAGAAGCATGAACATGCCTTAATCTCAGAGTCCCCTAAGACTAAAACAGGAGAAATGAGGCACATAAAGACCTGACACAGAAAAAGCCCAGGTTTCTACCCCCAGCGCTGCATAAGTCAGACATGTTGGCACAAGACTATCATCCGGGCACTGGGGAAGTAGAGACGATAGGATCAGGAGTTCCAGATCATCTTCAGCTACCCAAAGATTGTGAGAGTAGCCTTGGCTAAATGAGGGCCTGTTTAAATAAATAAACAAAAGAGAAGAAATGGAGAGCATTGGCCTAGCATGCTTGGGCCGAGGCTCCATCCTGAACACTGCCAAAAAATTCTGTGTGTGTGTGTGTGTGTAAATATAAGAAATATGCATGTCAGCAAAACTTTTAAAAGCTAATTATTACAATTCCATATATATATCAGATATCAAATATAAATCAAGAAATGACCATCAAACTGTTACAAACATAGCTAGAGGTCACATTTAAAAAGATAACTCACATGTTTAACAAGTAAAAACAAAGATACCATGGGAAATGTGTGTGTGTGTGTGTATGTGTGTACGTGTTTTCGCACATCCAGGTGAGCAAGTGCATGCATTCATGGGGGACAGATCAACGTCAGGAAGCTTCCTCTATTTTTCTTCATCCTGTGTTTTGGGAACTCACAACTGGACTAGTCTCGCTGGCCAGTGAGTTCCAGAGTCCTCCAGTCTTCATTCTCTTTATTCTGGGATTACAGGTGTGCACTGCCACACCTGACCTTTCATGTGAGTGCCGGGGATCTGAACTCGGGTCCTCACGCTTGCACAGCAAACATTACCAAGATCTGAGGCTTCTCCTTAACCCTGGGGAGATACTTTTCAAGTAGAGGAAATATAGATGCTTGCAATTTTAAAAAAAATGTTTGGGGGCAGTAATCTTGTACCTTCCTAAAAGAAAAAAAAATCACATTCGTAAACATTAACTAATAGTTTATTCCTTAAAGAGAGTTCCTAATGAAAGTTTTATACTAAAAATTAACATTTCTTTTTTGATGCATCATCAACTTTTTTTTTTTTTCCAAGACAGGGTTTCTCTATGTAACAGTCCTGGCTGGCCTGGAACTCACCAAGACCTGCCTGCCTCTACCTTCTGAGTGCTGGGATTAAAGGCATGTGCCACCACTGCTGAGCAAGTTCAACACTTTTGTTACTAATTCCCAGCACAGAGTCTTGAGATTTGTGCTATATACTGTAAAATAAAGGCAGGAAGCCACGGGGAACCTGAGTGAACATCTGGTTTCTCTTGCTTTCAGAGGCCAGTTGAGCACTACAGGGCCGCTAGTCTCTGTGGAAAGTGTCTCTGCTATGGTTTGAAGGTAAACTAACTCCCACCGGTCTTGTGCTGAGTTCTCAGCCCCCAGCTGGTGGCACTGTGTAGTGGGGCGGTGGGAATGTTAGGGCAGGAGGCCTAGCTGGAGGAAGCAGATCACTGTGATTGTCTTTGGTCCCACTTTATCTTGTCCCAGGAGCTTCTGCATCTTTCTCTTCCTCTACTTCCTGTCAGCCGTAAAGTGAAGAATGCCTCATGCCACACCCTCCTGGATGTCCTACCCGAGTGCTTGGAGCAATAACGGACAAGAGAAACTGCTCATGTCTCCAAGGAATACAAGAGATCATTTATTCTGGAGCAAATATGAATAGCCATGGCCTAGGAACACAGATTTAGATAATCCCTAAATATGCTTTAGTGAAGTAGCAATATCATCAAGTTTTTTTATAGAAACTGAGGGAAGGTCATAAATCAACCCATTTTTAAAATGCTTTGATGGGTGTACTGGATAGGCAGGTTTTAGTAAAGTGGGGAAAACTTACCTGTATCCCTCAAATACCATCTGACTGCATTCCTATGCCTTTAGTTGGTGAGGAACTGGTGATGTTCATAAACCTTCCAAAGGATGTACCTACTATATAGGTAGGATTTCTATTGCTATGAAGAGACACCATGATCACAGCAACTTTTATAAATGAGAATATTTGACTGGATGGCTTACATTTCCGGAGGTTTAGTCCGTCATCATTGTGGTACAACATGGCAGCATGTAGGCAGATGTGGTGCTGGAGAAGGAGCTGTGAGTCCTACATCTTGGCTTGCAGACAACAGGGAGTGGTTTGTCTCACTGGGAATAGCTTGGGCATAGGAGACCTCAAAGCCCACCCCCACAGTGACACACTTTTTCCAACAAGGCCGCACCTACTCCAACAAAGCCACACCTCCTAACCGTGCCATTCCCTTTGGGAGCCATTTTCTTGCAAATCACCGCAGTACCCGGTAGTCATAAAGATGTGAAGGCACTCACAGAACAGGGAAATAAATGTGTATTAAAGATGGCCTGAGATAATTTGGCTTTGGACTTGGAACACCCCAGACATCCCAGACTTGAAGTTCTGCTGCATCAGCCTTGTAAAAGGCTCAGCATAAGGGGCAGCTCTTTGCAGGAACTTTCATTCACAGACTGGAGCTCAAAAAACACGAACGAAATCAATCTTTCCCCTTTCACCTTCTCTCAGGTATTTTCCTCGGAGCAGTGCCAAGTGTGATTCATAAAACTTGTGGCTTGCAATATCAACACACAGCTGACTTTTCAGAAACTCAGAGGACGCTTTTACTTTAGGCTAAACTCACTAACACCGCACCTGCCAATAGCTAGCCTAGCGGGAGACCGTAACTGTGTGCCCTCGGAGCCCACGAACGCCACTGTTCTGAGTGTGCAGCCTGTGAAGAACTACGCAGTTTGCAGCCTGTGAAGAACTATGCAGTTTGGTTCTGCATATAGACCATCAGTCATTCAGGCTTCCTTACCCGATACCCTTCCCCCACAAATCAGTCTCATAGACACTGCAGTCTTCAGGGAGGTAGATTTGAGACTTAAGGCTCCCACCCCCTCACATTTGGCACCCCATGTATAACTCTCCTTTGCAAAACCGGTCATTTCAGTGATTGGCACACTGTTAGGTTTCTGAAGCAGCTTAAAGAGACAGGAGTCGGAAAAGAGACTAGAGACTGACCTCAACAGACTGGACTGTATTTCAAACAGCGAAGGACAGACACTCTCCCACAAGAAAGGGGTGTCTGTGGAAGGGATGGGGGAGACTTGGAGTTTCTCTAGGATGTTTGGGGTGCAACTGCTAGGGCTATGTCCAGGCCTGCTTTTCTCCCTCCTTGTATTGTCTGATCCATCGAGACAGGCTACCTTGAGAAACAGGCTGACCCACTGACTGCTGTTTGAGCAGGGCCAGCTAACCTTGCAAGAATTCTGCTTTTACAACCGAGGCATCCTATCAAATACAATGAGGCAGGCAGATCACCATTTGGTAACAGCAGTGCCTTTCTGCCAGTGCCCAGAGACAATACCGGGAAGGAAGCTTTGACATCAGCAATATTACATAACAGTTTACGTAGTAGCAAAATGTAAACCATTGACAGGGTTGGTTTTACGTAGTAATGGGAGAAAATGGAGGCATCGACTAAGTGAGAAAGGTGTGTCCCGCAGACTTCATTAGCACAAGATAGTTCAGTACCAAGCTGTAAGCATTTATATACAGTTGTAATGACAACAGTATTTCTAGCCCAGGAAGAGACCCAGCAACAGGTTCTACCCAGTCTAGTAATTTCTTTCTTCCAAAAGGCCAAGGAACTTTTTTTATTCCTATCATTTCTAGGGCACGGGGCAGAAGGAGGTAGATAAGAGAGAGACACGGTGTCAAGGACTGATTGCGGCCAGACTCGGGAGACAACATAGTCAGCTGCCAAGAGCAACAGACAAAGCGGCATTAGATATTGATGGTTAGAACATGCAAATGTCTTCAGGTCAACTTGCTGAAGGCTCTGTATTTGAAAGTCAAGCTTTGGGGGAGACTGCGGGTCACATTGGAAAGACCCTGTGCTGGCTAGTTTTATGTCAATTTAACCCAAACTAGAGTCATTGAGGAAGAGGAAGCTCAAGTGAGAAAATGCCCCCATCAGATTGGCTGTGGTGCTTTTTCATGATTAAAATTGCTGTGTGAGGGCCTATGTGGGAGGTGGCACCCCTAGCAGCTGGTCCGGTATTCTAGACGTCGGCAGGTTAAAGAAGTCATGAGGAACAAGCCAATTAGCAGCTCCTGTTCATGATCTCTGCTTCAGTTCCTGCCTTGACTACCCTGGATAATGGACTACAAGCTGTCAAATGAAATAAATGTTTTCCTCCCAAAGTCTCTATTGATGATGGTGTTTTATCACAGCAGTATCAATTCTAAGGTGTGTACATGAGAGAAGTTGGACTGTGGAGTCAACAGGTCCTGAAATGCTAATCCGTCACTATATGCAGAATTCAACTGATGCCATATTCTCTTCTGAAGGATAATGGAGCTACTTTGGGGGAGAACATGAGAAAATAAAAGCTCCGAATTAATGGAAGAGAGAGACACATGGGCTCAGTATGGAGTCAGGAACTGGTCAAAGGACTAACAATCCCTTCACAAGGGAAGAGTAGACAAAATTCAGATCATTGCCTGTTCCAGTAGAAACACTTGGACATCTCGGAAGGATGCTTGGTTGCTATCTTTGGACTCTACCATAGCTAAACTCTGTCCTGACCTTCACAATCCCTCGTGGAAGGAAGGCTCAAGCTCTGAACTCTAGCAGAGCCAGGAGGTAGGGATGGAAAATGTGAAAATGTCACTTTCAATAACATCAAAGAAATCAGGGGTCTATAAGTCGTTACCCAAACACGGACATAAGACAGAAAGATAGCAAGACAGCAGGGTCAACATCTCGTTGTTGTTCACTTGTTGCTGCCTTTTAAGCCACAGCTATTCTAGTCAGCAACTCCGGCTCTGCCTCTGCCAGCAGCAGTCAGGCCACAAGAGCCGCAGCCTGAGAAAATTCTGTTCCCTCCGGCACCAACTCTTTCAGAGCTACAACAGGAGCATACCTACATCTCTATCCCTCTAAAGAACTCGAGACTCAAAGGTTGAGATAGACTTCTGCTCCCCAGCGAGGCTGAAGAGCAAGCAGCTCACCGCCTCTAGTCCCCCAAGAAATTCTGTTTG